CTGATGGGGGATCAAACACACAACCTTTTGGTGCACAGGATGGTGGTCCAACCAACTGAGCAACCCTGCCAGGGCACTGTTTAACTTTTTGAAGAGTCGTCATCCAGTCCATCACTACCAGTTGTTACCCTCCCTCTTTGCAATAACCTTCCTAGTTCATGTTGTTCACGTCCTGTTATGTGAGATTGTATCTCATGTGGTTTTATTTAGCACTTTCTGGGTGGCTAATGACATTGAACATCTTTCCATGCACTTCTGGTCATCTGTCTTGCTCTGCTTTTGACTTTCAGAGTGTCCTAAGACTCAGTTGTATCCTCATTTGGATCCTTTTCCTGCCGAGGAACCCCTGATGAAGATCGAGGTTGTTGAAGTTCTCACACTCAACCAGGAGGTAGCTCGTTCCCGGAATGCCCAGATCCGGGCCCTGTATGCTGAAGATGAGGGCCTGAGCCCAGAGGTCCTCCAGGAGCCCACTCAACCACTGGGCAGCCATCCAGCTAACTCTGAGGCTGCACGCCAGAGGTTCCGTGGGTTTCGCTTTGAGGCGGCAGCAGGGCCCCGAGAGGCCCTATCCCAGCTCCGCAAGCTCTGCCACCAGTGGCTACAGCCCGAGGCACACTCCAAGGAGCAGATACTGGAGCTGCTGGTGCTGGAGCAGTTCCTGGGCACGCTGCCTGGGAAGCTCCGGGTATGGGTGGAGTCTCAGCACCCAGAGGACTGCCAGGAGGCAGTAGCCCTGGTGGAGGATGTAACCTGGATATCTGAGGAGGAAGGTAAGTGCAGTGGAAGTGTGGGTTGGGAGACAGTTTTGTGGGGGCATCTTGGAGGAGGGGGGGTCATACCCCCTGCATCTATACTGAGGGCATCTGCCTCCTCCATGTGTTCCTGAATCAGAGCTTGAGGCAGCGCTGGGGTATCCTTGCTAGCATACCCACTGTTACCTCTAAATCAAGGTCTTTGAGACTGGTCTCCTTCCTGGACCCATTTGTGTAAATGGAAGGTCTCAGGTCCCACCTCACAGCTACCAAAACCCTTGGGTGGCCCTGGCACTCCGTTATTATGTAAGGAATCCTTCATACACAGGCCTCTGATGGACGCTCTCAGATAAAGTGCTTCATTGTCCCCCCAGAGCCAGTAGAGACCCTGATTTTAGTCACAATGGCATATCCCTGGGTGCCTTCTAACGTCAACTTGGTGGGGGCTGTGGGTAAATGGTAACCAAGGAACACAGAACTTGTGGGCTCAACAAGCTTTCAGTCTAGCAGGAAAGATGGGAATTTGACAAAGGAATGTGTATGAGACAGGTGTTGGAAGTTCTGGCAGTGGGGCCTGTGGAAGCCAACTTACTGTAGCCAACACCTGGTGCAGAGCAGAGCTCAAGGGGCAGCAAGACAGATGTGTCAGGCAGGCAAGCATCCCCTGTCCTGGCCCACATGGGGCCTGTATATTCCAGAATCAGAGGTTGGGTAGGTCTGTACCACAAGGAGCACAGGGCAGGCTAGCAGGGCCCTTGGCAAATGTTACTCTAATGCAGCAGGAGCCTACCCCTGAGTTCCAAGGAGGGTGGCAGGATCTGATGGAACTTTCCAAGATTCCCCAGGTTGTAGCATGTGGCTTGTGAGCCACCCTGAGCTGTGACCATGTCTGCTGAGAGGAGTGACCATCATGGTAGCTGGGGGATTGCATTTGGGTGCTGACTCCATGAAACTGGATTTCTCAACAGAGTCGTGTCAAGTTCTGTGGAGCTCAGGCATGTTTTTGCTTACCTCAACACCCCAAGTAGCATCTGGTGGGTGCCCAGAAGACATTTCTTGAACAAATGATTGACTGATTGACTTTTGTAATTTGGTGGCAGGTGGAATCCAAGGTGGAGAGTGGGGTGCAGGGGCCAGGGCATCCGTGAGAAGCCATTGTGGAGGGAGTAGTGTCTCCTTCTCTTCACCAAGTCTAGGCTGTCCACATCCTCATCCCTTGAACCTGTTAATATGTTACCTTCCACCGTGCCTTTGTAGACATGATTAAGTTAAGGATCCTGAGACTGGAGGATTGTCCTGAAGCCCACAGGCAAGCTTTCTCCCTTTGGGGCCTCCCTGCATGGAATTTCTTATATACATTCCCCCAAAAGTTTTTTTGCCTCTGCTTGGCCCCGTTTTTGTCTCGGATCCATCTTTGTGGCCAGTTGGAAGTGATGGCCTGGTAGGCCAGCCTGGGCCACATTGTGTGTGTCCCTTGATAGTGAGGGTGGACTCATCATTTCAGAAGCCCACAGACTATGTGTGGATGTGTGAGGAAAGTTGAAACTGAGAGAGGCCATGAGGCCAAGCAGAGCTGTTTCCTAAGGTGGAGGATACTTGGTAAAATTCCCATCAAGATAGGTGTGGTGAGCCCTGGTTGGTATGACTTAGTGGATTGAGCGCCAGCTTGCAAAATAAAGGGTGGCTGGTTCAGTTCCTGGTCAGGGCACATTCCTGGCTTGCAGGCTGGATTCCCAGTTGGGGGCATGCAAGAAGCAACTGATTGGTGTACTTCTCGCATGTCAGTGTTTCTCTCCCTCTCTCTCCTTCCATTCCCTTCTCTCTAAAAATATATATATTTAAAGATGGGTGTGTTGGGAAAGTGGGTCTGGTCTTGGGAGTCAGGGGAAGTCCCACCATCCACATGGTGACAGAGGAGTGTGGAGAACTCAGAAGACACAGAAATGAGATCTTTGCTTCTGAGGAGAAGGCATGAGCCTAGTAGCTGAAATGAATGGGGACCTGAGGAGGCCCCATGGATCCCGGGGAGACATGGGCTGTCCTTGTGCTGGTGACACCCAGCATACCCCTTGTGCTGCTGTCTGCTCCTAGCATCGCCTGACACAGACCCCACCTGCTCTCTGGAGACCACAGCTCAGGAGGAAAAGGAGGAGGAGGAGACTACTTGCCCATCAAAGGCACTACCTGAGGTGCGTGGATAGTATTGCCCTTTCCTGCTCTGGTCACAGTATCTGCTGTGAGGTGGGCCCACCCTGAGGCCTCCAGACCAGGCCTTCTGAAATTTATGAGCATGAGGGCAGGAGAACCCTTGTCATTCAGAATGAATAGTTAGGTATTTATGACTGAAACAGAGTCTAAGGTTTGCTTCAGAATAACACAGAGCTAGGGCATGGACAAAATAGGGCCAATGAGGCTCACATAGTGTCACCCAGCCACTGTGTATATGTGGCATCAGTCAGGGCTGCTTCTGCTGGAAGTTGCTTACACCTGGCTCAAGCATCAGTGTGAGCTCACTGTCCCTCATGTACTGAGTGTTCTGTGGTAGGCTCCAGGCAAGGCTGTATTCAGGGGCTCCCAGAGGATGGGAGGTATCTATCCAGACCATCTGTGGCTCCGCCCCTGGTGGGCAGAATGCCCCACAGATCCAGGCAAAGGGGAGTGGGGAGGGCTCTCCCTTCCTTCTGTGGTTCTTGTCATTTCCTCAGAAAGGACTGATGGCAGCTGCCTGGGGACAGCATCATCCTGTGGTAGCTTCTGTCTCTCCATATGGTGGGGATGGGGGCTATGCCCATCAGTGGGACTTCTGTGAAGAGTTGTGGGGAATGGTGAGCTGGACACAGGTGTGGGTTGGCAGAGGTAGTTTGCTTGTAGTATTTGCAGCTCTTAGTGAAGTAGTGACTGCCTCCAGCCTCAAACTGGTTTTGTGAGAGACCTATTGGACCTCTTCCAAGTCGGTGTTTCCAGCAAACCTCCAAGGGAAAAGCATTCCCTCCCTGCACAGCAAGCCCTTTTGGAATATCCCAGTTGGTCTGCCTTGTGTCCCCTTGGATGACTTTCTGACTTATACTGAGTGGATGCACAATATATGTGGCATTGCAGGAACCAGTGACTTACCTGGATGTGGCTGTGGACTTCAACAGGGAAGAATGGGATCTGCTGGACCCAGCACAAAGGACCGAATACCATGACGTGATGCTGGAGACCTTCAGACACCTGGTCTCCGTGGGTAAGACCTTGCCCACGGACAGACCAGGGATGCCACAGGGACCCTGAGTTCATGATTTCACCTACTCTGGGCCCAGCTTAAGGAAAGCGTCTGCCCTCAAGAGTCTCTTGCTCCATCCAGGGCCTTTAACTGGTACTGTGGACCTGAAGGTGTGGGTGTTGTGTGGACAGAGGCATCTTGAGATCCACTGAAGGACTGACTGACCCACACTGCAGGTGTGTGAGGGCAACACAGGACTTTGGAGAGCTAGACAAATACTCCAGCCCTCGGCCCAGCCCTTTATCTCCAAGCTCAGTGTTTCCTGCTTTGCTGCTTTACTGCTTTTCTCATTCTCTCTCCCCATGTTAAAAGACTGTACTTGGTGGTAAAAAAAAAAAAAAAACAACCAATAAACAACCAGCTTTTGAATAAGTAATTATGGCATACTCTCAACACCTTCAGCATTTTTTCTGTGCAGAATCCACACCTTTTGTTTTTTTTTTCAGGGTGGGAGAATACATTGGAAAGCAAAGAATTAACCCCAAAGTCTCCTATTCCTGAGGCAGAACCAGCCCATGACCAGAAAGTGGAGAAACCCTCAAGGGCCAAGGCCCTGTCTTCTACCTCAGGAGATGCCTTGCAGGGTAGGGCCCCAGAAGCTCAGGACACAGCATTGAAACATGTGGGCCTGACTCAGGTGGAATCCCTCTCTCAGAAGCAGCACTGTGAAAGCTCCAGATCCCAGGCAGACACAGGTCTTGACCCAAGCCATGTTTCACTCCAGAAAACTCTACCTAAGAAACACTTGCGCAAGCGTGGCTCACGAGTTAAAAAAGTGATGCATAATTCCCCTGAAAAAATCCATCAGAAAAGCCGCAAAGGGAACAAAGCCAGGGAAAGCAGTGGTTGTGGGACCGTTGGCCAGAGCACCCAGCAGGTTACATTTACGAGAATTCATAAGGGGAGCCAAATTTGCCGATGCAGCGCATGTGGTAAAACTTTCTGCAACCCAAGATACTTCTCTGTACATAAAAAAATACACACAGGAGAGAAGCCCTACGTGTGTCAGGACTGTGGGAAAGCCTTTATTCAGAGCTCCTCCCTCACGCAGCATCAGAGAATTCATACTGGAGAGAGACCGTTTAAATGTCGTGAGTGTGGGAGGACTTTCAACGATCGCTCAGCCATCTCCCAGCATGTGAGGACTCACACCGGAGCCAAGCCCTACCAGTGTCAGGTCTGCAGAAAAGCCTTCCGCCAGAGCTCCCATCTTGTCAGGCATCAGAGGACCCACACTGGGGAGCGTCCCTACATGTGTAATGAATGTGGAAAGGCCTTCACCCAGAGCTCGCACCTCATAGGGCATCGGAAGACACACAGTAGGGTGAAATGCAAGAAGAAACACCTACCTCGTAGTGCTAAAGCCTGTTGAAGAGGTGCTGCCTTTTCAACTCAGTCCTGCATCAGAACATAAATGAGTGTGATTGGAACTTGAAAAGAAGTGTTGAAGGATGATGTTCATGAGACCAAAGGACAACCAGGGAGACTGCCCCTAATTATTAACTGGTGGGGTGTTGCTGATAATGAATATAACCGCTGGAAAAACAGATTTAACTTTTTACTCAGTTGATTTGCAGTTATAATAGGGTCATTAAAAGTGGTATTAGTGAAACCTGAGAATTGCTTATAATGAAAAAGTATGCACTGATATTATATTTGTTATAAATTATTTATGTGTGTAAACAAGGACGAAAAGGGAAGATAAATAAACCATATATTTCTGTGGCAGAATCTTCATGTGTATCTTTATTTAAATAAATCTTTTCATGTCAGACCAGTTCTAGCAGATTCTGTGGAAGGCCACAACCCCTCCAGTCCAAAATTCCAAGTGAGCAGGGTGTCATTCCGTTCCTTATGGCAGGATAAAGTTAGGTAGGTTGCAGGTTCAATTCCTGGTCAGGACATGTACACAGGAGCCAGCTAATCGATGTTTCTCACTTCCATGTCTCTCCCCTTTCCTCTCTATAAAATCTATAAAAACATTTCCTTGGGTGAGGATTTAAAAAAAAAAAAAAGATATAGTTAGGTGCAGGGAACAGGAACGTTGAGAGTAAGCTTTGGATGCCTAGAGGGCTGGAATCTCCAGGCAAGCCTTTTGGGCATGTTCATTTGCTTTACATTTCAGCTTTTCCTGAGGGACTCTTTGAGAGAGATGATCAATGTCTGTCACCAAGTTAATCAACAAGATGCTGACAGAACTAGGGCATGTATGTGATGTCCATGTTTCACATAAGATGACATTAAAATTCTGTATGTCATACAACTTGTAACCCACAACCAATTCCATCCCTTGCTCCATGACTACACTTTGTTCTCTTAAATTGAGCTTAACATTTCAAAACATCTTCTAAGCCTCTGGTCAAAAGTACTTATTTTCAACAGATACTGGTTGAGTGCTGCCCTCCCCAGACTCTTCAGACACAGGGCTCATGGCTGCTATATCACATTTAATTATTTCCACAATCTGATCATGGCACTTTTGGCTTCTCCGAGCTAGGAAAACATCCAGGGTTAAAGAATTTAACCTGGGTGCTGCTGCTTTCCCACCATGTGAGTTGAGGCCTTTCCTAGAGAGAAGGAGTTGTTCTCGATGTAGAAGGTTAGCAGCTCCTCCAAGTCCCAGTGATTTTCTTGGGTAGTGGCTTCCTCATGGTTCCCAGCACTGACTAGTGAAGTTCATAGCCATGTCCTCAAATGAGATCACATCATCCTGAAATGTCACACTTATTGTGAGTTCACTAAAGGTGAGCTGACTGCTTTCCCATCTGTGGCAGTTTCAAACATGGCCACAAATTCTTTGCTATTCCTTCCTAGAAATTGGGCTTGGTTCAATCAGTAGTGTCAACAGAATCATGCCATGTAACTTCCAACGAGATGAGGTCATAAAGAATGATGTGGCTCCATCTACTTTGCTGGAACACTTCCTTATCTCTGGGATGGCTCCAATGACCATCTGCTCGTGCCCTAATTCCTCTCCCTGACTTAACCTCTTCACAGCTCACGTTGCCCTGGCATCACCAATGGAATTATAGTTCCTGGCTGGAACATGAGCCCCACGTGTGTAGGGATTTGGTTTGGCTGTTCACTACTCTCCCCTTAAGATTGTTTGCTGTAGCCCTGACTGGTATGGCTCAGTATGTTGGGCATTGTCCTGCAAACTGAAAGGTCACCGGTTCAATTTCTGGTCATTGCACACGCCTGGATTTCAGGCCAGGCCAGGCCTCCATTTGGGAGACATGCAAGAGGTAACTGATTGGTGTGTCTCTCACACATCGATGTTTCTCTCCCTCTCCCAACCTTCCCCTCTAAGAAAAATAAAATCTTTTTTAAGAGGAAAAAAATGTTTGCTGCATATATTAAACTGATCTCCCCAGGATGACCATGTCCAAGCCCCAGAATTCCATGATGTCCCTACCTCTCGTGGCTGATAAAAGATCATTCCATTTTTACTGTAGTATCACCCCAGGAACTGTAGATGATGATCAACTAAATTAAATGCCACCAACCCTCAGCAAGAAAGAGGTTTCCTCTTGGGTTTTCCATCAGATTCCTTATATCAAGGATATCTTGATTTGGTGCTAGCTGGTTTTATCCTCTCTCATGCTTTGCTAGTAATCCTTTTTAACAAAAAGTACAGGCTTTCAGAGGCAACAATATCTGGGTAAAATTAAAGCAATATTGTTTTGTTTCAACCAAACTTACTTATGTTTATTTTGACAAAAATGAAGACCCCTTTAAAAGCAGGTTTGAGGGTTTGTTTGTGTGTGTGGTTTTTTTAAAGATTTTATTCTTTAGAGAGGGGATGGGAGGGAGAAAGAGAAGGAAACATCAATGTGTGGTGGTCTCTTGAGCACCCCCTACTGGGGACCTGGCCCACAGCCAAGTCATATTCCCTAATTGGGAATTGAACTGGTGACCCTTTGGTTTATAGGCCAGCAATCAATCCACTGAGCTACACCAGCCAAGGTTCCTTTAAATTTATTTGTTGAAACCAGGTAAATTTCTCCCATTGGATTTACCACATCCTAGATTTTGGTGATGGTATCCTTATGGTGTCATTTCTTTTTCCCCGGCTTTTCCTGGGACCAGTTTCAAGGTGTGAACCTTGTTCAAATCCTAGTTTGAAAAGCAAAATGTAAAACATTTACTATAATTGGAGTTTACTTAAATACTGGGTATTTGCTATTAAGTAATCACTGCTACTATTTTTTTTTAAGATTTTATTTATTTTTAGAGACAAGGGAAGGGAGGGAGAAAGAGAGAGAAACACTGATCCATTGCCTCTTGCATGTTCCCTACTGGGGACCTGGCCTACAACCCAGGCATGTGCCCAGACTGGGAATCAAACGAGACTATGGTTCACAGGCCAGCACTCAATCCACTGAGCCACTCCAGCCAACTGCTACTAGTTTTAAGTGTTAATGATTTTGTACTTATTTAACATTAATTTTCTCCCCATTTTATCTTTTTTCCCAATAGGTGTTGGTAACATGTATTTTAAACAGCTTTACTGAGACATAATTCATAATCCACCTATTTAATCTGTACAATTCAATGGTTTTTAATATATTCAGGGTTATACAACCATCAGGGCAATTTCAGAACATTTTCATCACCTCAGAAACAAAATACCCATTTAGCAGTCAGTCACATTTTCCCTTAAACTCCCCCAGCCCTAGGCTACCACTATTATGCTTTCTTTATACATTTTCCTATTCTGGACAAAAATAACTTTCTTTTAGAAATACATTCATAGGTGGGTATAGGCAATATTAGTTGATTCAATATTTGTTGAATCAACAAATTGATTCAAGGAGTTGACTCGAGGATTACTGTGTTTCTTTCCATCTTTCTGCTCTGCCACTCTCAGCATGTTGACTTTGCCTGTTGGGCTGGATTCCTCGTGGTGCTGGCAGGGTGGTTCTGTTCCACACATTACATACAGACAACAATGTTCAGAGAGAATAAAAGGGGACACACTAGTGCCCTATGTCCTTTCTTGAGAGGGAGGAACACTTCCCCAGAAGCCCCCAGCACACTTATTATTTCTCCTTGGCCAGAAAGCCTTTTCCTAATTCAAACGAAACACAAGAGGGATGAGACCATCAAGACTCTCCCTTTGGAAGTTAGATTCCAGACTTTCTGAAAGAATATACAAATTGCAGGGTCATGTTAGCAAGTAACAAACATTCCAGTAAGATGGTTCTTGGATAAAGCAACTAGCAAGGTCTGTCCCAGATGAGTCGCAGGAACACCCCAGACACAAGAACACAATCTAGGAGTTCACCATGAGTGATGTCTGAGAAGAGCAGGAGCGGTTCCCACTAAAAGGATGGGTGGTGGGTCTGACTGCACCCTACATACAAGGCAGTGACTGAATATACATACAAAGGCCACACTTCTCTGGCCCACAATCTCTGCAGCAATAGGCCCAAATTAGTCAAGACTTGGTCACTAACTGCTGGCCTCCCTGGGTTTTGCCCCTGTACTACTTAGGAGCAATAGGGAGACAAATATGCTTCCCCCCAAAATCGCGTAGTACTGTAACGGAACAAAACGGAGGTTCGGCTGTCTGGCACAAGGAAAGAAACTCGTGAAGGTGTGATGCAAAAGAAAACAGGTTTTAGCCGCATGACCTGGATGAATGTTGGACTCCTGTCTCAAAGATCATCTCCTTATCCTGCTCAAGCCCCCAGTGCTTATAGGGGTAGGGAGGCGAGAGCTTTCTTTCTTTCTTCTATCCATATAATTTTGCTTTTGGCAAGCCAGGGGCCCTATCCACTCACCTTTCTAACTTTCAGCAGACTTGGGCTCTATCCATTAATCTTTTTAGCTTTCCCCGCTCTAGGGACTCTACCTACTCATATTTCTAGCTTCTGGCGCACTGAGGGATCCCTATCCATTCGTTTCTCTACCTTGTGATGCGCTCAGTCGAAGAACCTACCCCTGCCACCATCCTGACCAATGGGAGATTCCCCAGCGCCCAACAGACTGTGGGTAAGAGGACCGCACACCTCTAGTCAGCCACCCTCCAACTTCCACCCTCGACAAAGTGCAAACAGGGCGCCTGCTGCGGCCTTTCACGTTTGCCACTGTCCTTGTGCCCAACCCTTCGGCCTCCGTCAAACGCACAGGACGGTGGCGGCCTGCCTTGCTCACCTGCCAGGTAGTCTTCATTTACTCCCACAGCAGGTCCGGGCGTCGGAAACGACTGTGAGGGAAAGAGGCCGAGCGCAACTGACGAGCGAATCCCGCTCCCAGCGTGAGTCGCCCCTGTGGCAGACGCCTCGGCCTCGGTCGCCAGGAAAGGGGAATTAGGTACGCCCGTTGATTCGGATCTTGGAGGAGTGGCGCGTCCTCAAGGATAACAGCGAGAAACCGCCACCGACGCATAGCCTTCTGGGACTTGTAGTTGGTGGCGCTGAGCACGGGCACTTCCGCCGTCCACCGGAAGCCCCGCCATTACCTCCTCCTCTCAGGTGAGTGGAGCACCCGGGAATAGCGGGAAAGTTCCGCTGTGAGCGGGCGGGGTCGGTTACAGGACGTGGCCGAAGTGACCTGGGCAGCGTCCAAGGAGGCAGCGGGCCTGGCTCGCGTACCTCCTCTTGCAGGACCAGGTAGGGGTCTGTAAGATTCAAGCCCCTCTGGCCGCAGGAACCCGTAGGAAACAGGTACAGGAAGGGGCCCCTCTAGCAGCAGAGCCCAGCTGAGGCCCCTCTGCTGCAAGACGGGGCTGGGGCTGCTCTGCTTGACCCTCCTACCGCAAAGCAAGCCCAGGATGGAGAGCTGCTGTGGAAGATTTCAGGCCGGCGTTTGTGGCTCTGGGGCCTCCCACCCAGGCCTGAACCGCGCCTCCTGCTTTCCTCCCTGTTAAAGCACAGTGCTCACCCCCAGGGCGCTCTCTGTGCAGGAGGTGGTAACCAAGATCCTCCTAACAGCCGTCCAGGGAAGTATGCTTCGTGGATGAAAAAGGAGTTCTGTGAGAATAACTTCTTGGGGGAGATAAGGTCATAAGTTCCTAACTGGGTAGGTCTTGGCAGGTAGTCACGCCCCAGGCCTGTAACTTGCACAGGGAGAAGTTTGTCTTCGCGTTAAGCAAGCGCGGTCCATTGTTTCTGTGCATCTCGGTTAGCACACGTTTGAAGTGCCTCTTTCTTGTCAAATAGCTGGACATCTCCAATCTCTACCTTGCTTTCTCCCCACTCTGTAATCTTCCTTACCTTCCCTTTTTAATTCCGAATGCATGAAAGCTGCAAACTCATTTCTGGAAAGCATTTTCTCAGCTTGTTGAGATCATGCTTTCAGGTATATTCTCTGTTTGGCTCAACTAAATTACAAAAGTTCTCTATAGGTTTGGACGCCCTTACTTACATCCACACCCTGTACCCCAGAGGATACCCCAGTCCCAGAATACAGCCACGTTTTCTTCCACTGGTACGTGAATGTTGTGCTCACTTTGAAGAAAAACTTGTTTTCCAAGTGAACAAAGTTAGGGGTAGCCTAGGCAAACAAAATCAGCAACACCAGCCTGTGATGTGGGGGGCCTACAGTCCTTGTGTGTGCTAATGCCCCAAGTTAGGGGCTAGATGGGAGGAGGGGCTGGAGATGTGACCAGGACTGGAGATGAGGACTGCAGGGACAGGAAGCTGTCCTTGACATTAGGGCTTGGATTTCAATGGGACTCTGGAAGTGGAATCATGTTGCTGTGGAAATAAGTCAGTGCAAGGGGGAGTGTCAGTAGAGTGGAAATTGCTGAGAAGACTCTGTTTCCATTTATTTTTAAAAATTTTTGTTTATTGATATTAGAGACAGAAACTTCACTTTGTTTTTCCTCTTATTTATGCATCCATTGGTTGATTCTTATGTGTTGTGATCTGGGTTCGAACCGACAACTTTGGCATATGGGATGACACTCTAACCAACTGAGCTATCCAGCCAGGGCTCCATTTCTAGAATGGAGCCAGGAAGGAAGTCACAAGAAAAAAGGAATTCCTAGTCACTCTCAGTTCTCTTGAGTTGAGGATTCCATGGGGGGGTTGGGGGGTGTTGAGGAGGGGATAGTAGTGTCAGAAACCTGGGAGGGAGGTTTAGGCTTGTCATGAAGCTTGGGGCAGCACTTGAAACCCCATGCTAAAGTCAGGGAGAAGAAGAAACTGAAAACAAAGAGAAAGAGCCTCCTCCCCAGCCCTGTATAGTTCCCAGCCAGACCAGCTCTCTCCTGCGTCGAGTATGAGATATGGAAGGGGAATTTCATGTCCAAGTATAATCAACATGATTAAATGTGCTTGTACTGTGTGTCAATGTGGCATTAAGCTCTATAAATGCAACTCATTTAATTCTCACAGAGGCATGATGAGGTAATAACTGCTGTTCCAGAAGTCTACAGAGGAGGAAACAGGGCCAGAGAGGTTAAGGCCTGTTGGGGGCTCTACGGAGGCAAGTTGTAGAGCTAGGACTTGGCAAGTGGGCAGTTTGGCCGCAGAATGGGTGTTTCCAGACAATGAAGAGGATCAAAGGGTGGAAATAGACATAGGCAGTAGGAGATTGCCTTGGGATGGGCCGGAGTGTCAGAACAAGAGAGCATCATCTAGAGTCCTGGGAAGCCTTCTTAGTGTGGGAAGCCTGGGGATGTCAGACACTCTGTCAGGGGCTCAGCTGTGAAGAGCAAGAACTTGGTGGCAAGAGTGGGGCACTGGGATGCAGGAGTTGCCTTAACCAGAAGGAAAACCTCTGGGAAGTCTCAGGGAGACACTTGGGAGTGTGTGGGCTTAGGGGAGTATGTGTGCCAGGAAGGTGAAAGAGTCCACGGTCATCACTGGAGTGAATAAGAGGTGTGTCTGCACTGAAGGGGTCATGGTGGGAGGGGCTGGAAGAGGAAATGAGAGCCAGGACTTGGCAGCTGTAGGGACTGTAAGGAGATGAAGTAGATGTTGGTATCCTTCTAGTCTCATACCACCCAGGATGCAGACCCTAGCAGGGGGAGGCAGAGAGGGCATCCGATGGCTTAGAGTAGATTGTACAGAGCACCCAAGTAAGGGGCTGAGAGGTGGGCCCCACATGGAGAATGACAGGAAAGAGGGCAAGGGCAGTGGGCTGGGCCAGGGGGAAGCTGTGAGCCAGGGTGACAGTGTGCTTAGGACCAGGAACTGCAGAGCTCCTGGCTTCTACTTAATCACGAAGCCTTGGTGAATTTTCACTCAAGCTATTTTTTTTTAATTTATTTTTTAATTATAGTTGACATACAATATTAGATTTGGGTACACAACATAGTGATTGGGCATTTTTATACCTGTGATCTGCTCAATAAGTCTAGTGCCCATCTGACCCTATACACAGTTATTACTGTATTCCCTATTCTGTACTTCATGTCCATGTGATTAGTTTTATAACGAGCAGTTTGTGCTTTTTAATTATTTTATTTATTGATTTTAGAGAGAAGAAAAGGGAGAGAAGGAGAGAGAAACATCAATTTGTTGTTGCACTCATTGGTGCATTCACTGGTTGACTCCAGTGTGTGTCTTGACTGGGACTAGAACTCACAAGTTTGCATGTGGTGATGATACTCTAATCAACTGAGCTACCTGGTCAGGGCAGTTTGTGCTCCTTAATTCCCTTGATCTTTTCACCTATACCTGCACCCATCTGGCAACCATCAGTTTATTCTCTGTGTCTATGAGTTGGTTTCCGTTTTGTTTTTTAGATTCCACACATAAGTAAAATCATATGGTGTTTGTCTTTCTCTGACATATTTCACAGGTCCATTCATGCTGTAGCAGATGGTAAGGTTTCATTTTTTATAGCCAAGTAATATTCCATTTGTGTATGTGTACTATCACTTTTGTCCACTAGTCTATTGGTGGGCACTTGGGTTGTTCCCACATCTTGGCTATTGTAAACAATCCTGCAGGGAACATAGGAGTACATAAATTCTTTCAAATTAGTGTTTTGGGTTTCTTTGGATATAAATCCAGAAGTGGGGTTATAAGGCAGTACTGTTTTTAATTTTTTGAGGAAAATCCATGCAGTTTTCTATAGTGGCTGCACTATTCTGCATTCCTTTTTTCCACATTTTCGCCAACACTTGTTGGTTGATTTATTCATGATAGCCATTCTGACTGGTGTGAGGTGTTAACCCTGCATCTTAATTTGCATCTTTCTGATGATTAAGTGCTGTTGAGCATCTTTTCGTATGTCTATTGGCCATCTATGTGTTCTCTCTGGAAAAATTTCTATTCAGGTTCTCTGCCCATTTTTTAATTGGATTTTTAAATGTTGACATGTATGAATTCTTTATATATTTTGGATATTAACTGATTATCAGATATATCATTTACAAATATCTATTCCCATTTAGTAAGTTGCCTTTTTGTTTTGTCGATGCTTTCCTTTTTGGCCAAAAGCTTTAGAGTTTAATGTCATCCTGTTTTTTTGTTTGTTTGTTTTTTGTTTGTTCTTTTTGTTTTGTTTTGTTTTGTTTTGTTTTTGCATTTGTTTCCCTTACCTGAGGACACATATCTAAAAATTACTGGTTTGACTAGTGTCAGAAAGTTTATTGTGTTATGGTTTTGGGTTTTACATTTAAGTCTTTAATCCATTTTAAGTTTATTTTTGTACATGAAGTTACAAAGTAGTCTACTTTCATCTTTTTGCATGTATCTGGCAGGTTTCCCAACACCCTTTATTGAAAATACTGCTTTTTTTTTTTTCCTTAAAGACTTTCTTTCTTTATTTTCAGAGAGAAGGGAAGGGAGGGAGAAAGTGGGAGAGAAACATCAATCGGTTCCCTCGTGTACATACCCCAACCTGGGACAAAACCCTCAACCTAGGCATGTGTCCTGACTGAGAATCAATCCAGCAACCCTTCAGTTTGCAGGCTGGAGCTCAATCTACTGAGCCACACCAGCCAGGGATGAAGACACTGTTTTTACCCCATTTTATATTCTTGCCTCTTTGCTCGTTAGTCACAGATATACCTTATAAGTGAGATTTTATTTCTCAGCTCTCTGTTCTATTATTCTGCTCCAGGCAGTAGGGCAGCATTGAGGCACCTCCAGAATATCCTGAGGGAAAACACTCTTCTTTTAGAGCGCCATTTGCCATCCTCAGGATTTTTGTAACCTCCTTGTCACAATTCCCCACACATATTTTTGGAAACTGATTGATGTTTCATTGTAATATATTTAAATTGTGCTTTTTAAAATTTTTTTAACCCAGGCCCTGTATCACTGTTCTTTGGCAATTGTGCAGGGTTTTTTTGTTTGTTTGTTTGTTTTTTGCAAGCCCGTTGTTTAATTGGAATGTTTTTAAAGCATGCAGTTTTGACACCGTCTTTACCTCCTCCTATTCATTCTCATGAAATGACAGAAAAAACTGGCCCCTCTGTATGCAGAGGGGAATCTGTGTCTGTTGGATCACAGTTCAGACACCCCAGCACATGTCTGGGCATTTCCCTTGAGCCCAGGGGCAGCCCAGGTTGATCGCCAGGCCCAGATCTGAGCAGGCTAAGCCCATTACACCACTGAAAAGCTGTCTTGGCCACTTTGGCTGACCTCAGAGCCTTGGACAAGAGTGCCATGTGGTCACAGTCCTACCTCCCTGTTCCTCACACCCCAGCGGAATGTCTCTCAACTGGTACATTCCCCTCCTTTGTTTGGAGTTGAAGTGGGCTCGAGAGTGTGGGGGTACTGTACTGAGCAGGGGCTGAATCCCTACTTGTTGCCCCACCCCCAGCACTGCCTCCTGAGGACATCTGCCCTCTGCACACCACCTTCCAGTCTGAGGAGGAAATGGAGGCGGGTTCTCAACCAGTTCCCTCCCAGGTAAGTTAGGTTACCTTGGCTCTTTTTGCCCCTCAGTGTTTTCAGCTATAAAATGGGTCCAGGAATAGCACTTGCCTCTTCAGGAGGACACACACGAACTCAGCAATGCAGCCTCATACCTTTGGGTGAGACCTATGGGCTTCCTGTAGATAAGGCACCTTCCCTGTGCAGATGAGCCACTTACACCTGGTTCTCTGGGCCATATCTCCTCCCCTCATGTCCTGTGTGACTCCTGTAAGTGGGATACTGCTTTCACGGTCACATCAGGACAACTCACACCTGAGAAGCTCAGGGACTCGTCCAGATGTCTACCTGCTAAGGTATGAAGCTGAGATGCCAAATTGGGCCTGGCACCCAGGGCCAGGGCATAGGGCCCCTTGCCTGCCAGCCTGTGTTGAGAGCTGACTCTACCAGTGTTTTCTGTAAGGACCAGGTGGTGGAAACTGCCTTAGGGTCTGTGGGCCACACATGGTCTCTGTCCCATATTTTTTTGTATGGTATATTTGTCTGCTGCTGTAACAAAATGCCACAGGCTGTGTAGGTCAAACACTTATTTGCTCATAGTTCTGGAGACTAAAAGTCTGAAATCAAGGTGCCAGCAAGGTTAGTTTCTGGTGAGGACTGTCTTCCTGGCTTGAAGATTGTGCCTTCTCTGTCTTCACATGGCAGAGAAAGAAGCCTCTGGTGTCTCCTTGTATTGTAAGGACACCGATCCCATCGCATTAGGGCCCTACCCTTATGACCCCCCCATTAACATTTGCTTTTGTAAAGGCCCCGCCCCCAAATACAAGTCACATGGCGGGTAGGGCTTTAACATATGGAATTAGGGAAAAACCAATTGCACTAGCTCATGGCATTAGCCTTCTAAAAACACACTACAATCTTCATTTGTCCCCCAGACTGTATTTCCTCATCCCTGATTTAGAACATCCTCTTTGCCCTCAAATCTGTGATTTTGCAGAGAAGTGGGAGATGGGGTTCTCCCTGTGGGGTTCCTGTTGTTTCCCAAGACAGAAAATCAGGATTGCTGGTGTGACCAGCCATAGACTCAGAAGTGAAAATGCTGTGGATTGGGTCAGTGTCTGATCAGATCACTGCTCAAAGGTGGGAACCTGTGGGTGCTCTGGATATCATGTCCAGTCTATGCTATCTCCTTCCTTTTGCTGGTCTGTGCCCCCTTAACCTCCACATCGGGGAGACATGGCCCCATGGTAATGTGGGTGATGTTTCAGCCACCTGTCAGCTTCAAGGATGTGGTTGTGAGCTTCACGCGTGAGGAGTGGGGACAGCTAGACACAGTTCAGAGGACACTGTACCGCGACGTGACTCTAGAGACATGTGGCCACCTAGTCTCCCTGGGTAAGGTGGGCTCTGCCATTGCATGGGCTTTCTGCCTCTGGGACTCCAAGCTGTGGCTCTTCCCCTGGGTGTGCGTGTGCTGGGGTGGAGCAGTCTGAAAGTGGGTCCCTTCAAGATGCAGATCCCGGGTGTTGCCGCTTAGCCTTTACTGCAGGTGTGTGACTTATTCCCCAGAATGTCTCTAGGTCCCTCCTAGTCCATCCATGTTTGACCCCAGGGAACAAGGGCTGGGCTGGAGGATGCAGTTGTCTTCATCTCCAAGCAGAGCACCAAGTCTTGTGTTTTTCCCTGTTGACCAGGGCTTCTGCTCCCCAATCTGGATGTGATCTCCCACCTGGAGAATGGTGAAGACCCATGGAGGGCAGAGCAGGAACCTCCTACCCGAGGTGAGAGCCTTTGGTTGGGCAGACAGCTCCCTAGGTTGGAGGTGGAGGGAGGCCATGTGTGGGGAGCTTGCTCGGGTGTTCTCTGCAGCCTCATGTCCATCGAGTTAGCCTCCTCCTCATCCGTGGACCCAGCTCAGGGAATGCACATGCTACCATCTCAGGCATGGGTTTACTTCTTTTCCCTACTCCCCTTTGATCTTTACCCTTCACCACCTTGTCTTATTCCCAGGTCCTTTGGACCCCTCTTCCCTGAGCTCCTTGTCATAAGTTCACTGTGGAAGCAGCTCTTCGGGCTTCCCTTTTAGGCCATACTCTTTCCCTCCAGTGTGTTTGAAGTTCTCATGACTTCCAGATGATCCCATGGTGTGGTGAAATCTTAGGTATCCTAGGAAATGTCAGCCACCTGTTTCTTTCAGAAGAATTCCTATTCTTCTGGACCTGCTTCCCAGGTCTTTCATCCCACAGACCCACTTCCTTATATATCACATTGTGTTGGCCTAATTGGAATTCTTTTTTGAAACAGCTATTTCAAGATACAATTTACCCATTTAAAGTACCCAAAGGTTTTTAATGTATTCACATCACCAGAATTAATTTAGAACTTGTTCATCACCCCAGTAAATTGGGCTACTTCTCATGGTCATTTTGTCTTAAATAATAGATTTCTTTAAAACTTATTTTTCAGTTACAGTTGACATTTAATACTGTGTTTGTTTCAGGTGTAAAACAGTGATTAGACATTTATTTATATAACTTGGAAAGTGATCACTCCAATAAGTCTAGTATACATCTCAAAGTAAACATTTTTATTACATTGTTATTGAGTATACTCCCTATGTTGTACTTTCTTTACATCCCCATGAATATTTGTATAATTGATAATTTGTACTTCTTATTCCCTTTCACCTTTTTCATCATAGACTATTTAGAAAACAGTTTTATGTTTACACAAAGTTGAACAGAACATACAGAGTTTGCACTTACCTCTTAGCCCACACATTCACAATTTCCCCTATTAATATTTTGTATTCTGTAGTACATTAGTTACAATTGATGAGCCTTTATTGATCGTTATGTTATTAATAGTGATCAATAGTTTACATTAGGTTCACTGTTGGTACTTTATATTCTGTGGGTCGGACAAATGTAGGGTGACTTGTATCACCATTTATAGTATTACACAGAGTAGTTGTAACTACCCTAAAAACCCTCTTTACTCTGCCTGTTCATCCTTCCAGCTAGCCTAACTCCTGCCAACCACTGATTATTTTACTGTTTCTTTAGTTTGTCTTTTCTGGAATGTTCTATAGTTGAAATAATGCATTCTGTGGCCTTTTCTGATGGACTGCTTGTACTTAGTATCATGTGTGCCCTTCTTGTCACCTGGAGGCATTGAATTTATTTCTTGTGTTTCTGCTCCAACTTATTCTGTAACTCTCATCTGCAGCCTCTGTTATTTATTCTCTGAAGTCTCATCTGTAATTGTCCTTGGTCCTCCGATGTCATTCAGAATCCAGTTTAGTGTCCACACCTTCTTTCTGTCTATCGTAGATGTTACTATTTGCCTGACCTGCGGTTTGTTTGTCTTTCTCTTTTCATGATCTTGACAGAGAAGTTGTTGTGGAATATTTAACCTCCTTTGCTCAGTTCCCAACAGCCAGGCACAATTTTGATGCATCTTACCCATCCAGAGATTTCTCTTGTCCTTGTCCTCAAACACCCTATCACTCACTCCCCTTTATTGGGTCATTGTTTCATTTGAAAAAGTTCTCATGCTCATCACTGGGGATTCCAAAGCAAAACCTCAAAGGAACATATCAGAGTCTCAGGAAGGAGAACAGTGTTGGCTATAGGGATTGCTGAGTATAGATAAGGACCTTACCCAAGAGGGAAAGAGGATCTTTGACATAAGGGAAATGTCCCCATGGAAGTCAAGGGATGGCCAGGAGCGTATTTAATACTTTGTTAAGTGGAGGGTCCTTATCTCCTTGGCAGGTATGGAGAGCAAAGGATGGGTACTTGAACAGAGGCCTTGATGGTACTGGATGCTGGTGACTGCATGACTGGGAGGGACAGAGTGACCAACAAAGGGGGAATTTTGGAAGACCCCAGTAAGTGTCCTAAGCTGGGAGCTTATTGGACACACTGGGACCCCAATATCTGCAATAGAAGGAGGAATCAGTAACAATGGTGATGTCAACAGTACCATGTGCTATCAGTGTGTCACGTGCCAGACACTGTGAAGCTCACATATTGACTCATTTATGCCTCAAAGTAAACCCGGCAAGCTAAGCATTCTTATTCCTGGCATACCACCAAGGAAGATGATCCTCAAAAGTCACCAGTTGGGGAAGTCTGTGGTTTGGACTGGCCAACCACACTGCTTTACAGATGACAGTGCTTTTCTAGCGAATCTGTAGCATCAATTCTGGAATGGTTAAAGCAATGTTTTTCTCTCTATGCAGCTAGGAGTGATAGAAATGGTTGCTTATGACTATTAAATCATTCTGGTGTTTGGATCCTGTTTTAAGATTCAAAATCAGCCCTGGCTGGTGTAGCTCAGGGGATTGCGCGCGGGCCTGCAAACCAAAGGGTCATTGGTTCAATTCCCAGTCCAGGACGCATACCTAGGTTGCGAGCTAGGTCCCCAGTGGGAGGTGCGTGAGAGGCAACCACACATTGATGTTTTTCTCCCTCTCCTTCTCTTCCCCTCTCTCTAAAAATAAATAAATAAAATATTTTTTTAAAAGGTTGAAAATCAGAAAATAGGCTAAGATTTTGAGTCAGTAATCTAGATCGAGGCACAAGTTAAGGTCCTGTGTTAGTTTCCTGAGGGTTCTGTAACAGATTGCCACTGGGTTTAAAAGAACACAAGTTTAGCCCTGGCTAGTATGGCTCAGTGAGTTTAATGCCGAGAACCGAAAGGTCATGAGTTTGATTCCCAGTCAGGGTACATGCCTGGGTTGCAGGCCAGGTCCCCAGTTGGGACGCATGTAAGAGTCAACCAATCACTGTTTCTCTCACTCATTGATGTTTCTCCCTCTCTTTCTCCCTCCCTTTCCCTCTCTCTAAACAATAAATCTTTGAAAAATAATCATCATGATCAAATTAAACACCAGTTTATTCTCCTACCGTTCTTGGAGGCCAGAAAGCTGAAACAATATCAACAGGGCCATGTTCTCTCAGGAGGCCACTGGAGGAAATCTGTTCCCTGTCTGTTCCAGGTTCTGGTGGCTGTGACATTCCTTGGATTTTGCCCACATCACTTCAATCTCTTAAGTCCAACATCTTTATATTTCTGCTCTGTGTTTATGTTAACTTATCTCTGTGTATTCATTCACTCTTCCTCTAATTCCATCTTAGAAGGTCACTTGTGACATTTACAGCCAGATAATTTCCCCATCTCAGACTCAGCAGTTCTGCCTTCTGGGTACCAGCTCCCTGCTGCCCTGCAGCTGTGGGCTGGCATCAGGCCCAGAATACCAGAGCAGCTCTGCTGGTCCAAGTGTTATGGGGGTGCACTCGTGGTGAGAATTGGGAAGAGGAACAGGCAGCAAGGATAGGCTCAGAAAAACGATGAGGAAAAAAATATCATGGCAAATATGCACCACAAAAATGAAGAAATGGAGCAGTGCATGCAGAATGGAAAGGAAGACTGCCCTTTGGAAAGGAGCAAAGGCCACCAGCCCACAGGAAATAACAGACAGTGACAGGCTCGCCAACTGGCCTCTAACTTCCAGTGGGCCATACCCAATCGGCAGGTCAATGATGGGATGGGTGGAGATGGAAATGATATGGAAATGTTCACAGAGGAGATGAGAGAAATCCGGAGAAAACTTAGGGAACTGCAGTTGTGGAATTGCCTGCGTATCCTTATAGGGGAGTTCTCTAATCTCTAACCATGACCATCATGATGAATTTTGCCTTATGCCTTGATTCCTATCATTTTCCATGGGATTAATACTGTGATTCCCACTGCTTGCTTTTTCCTTGCATTTCCTGATATGCCTTTACTGATCCATTTGCTGTGAACCATGTGTAATTTCCATGTGTCAAGTGAGTTCTGTGTCACCAACTTCTCATTGGAGATTGCCTTGGCATGCAGTCTTAAGTTTCTGTCAACAGTAGTTTCACCCATTTGCGTGGGAAAATGTAAAGTTAATAAAGCAATGAAAAAGCAACCTAAGAAAAAAAAAGACTCAGCCATTCTGCAAAGATCTTTTTTCAAATACAGTACCATATTCACAAGTCCCAGTAACTGGACTTAGGTATCTTTTGTGTTTATTAAGGTCCATATACTTTCAGACTCAGTTCTTTCTGTTGATTTCTCCTTTAATCTTTATGCTCTTGTGCTTGTTCTTATTCCTTTGCTCCCTCTTTGAGGACCAGTTCTGGATTATCTCATTACCTTCGCTTGTTTTTTGTGCATTATCACTGATTCCCTATTTATTGATCCATCCCACTCTTTTATATCCTGTGTGAAATTACAGTCCATGGATTCGAAACAAACCCAGAAACACCTCTCATACTTGGTGTTTTTCTTGTTCCCCTCCCCTCTTCTAAAGCTTCTGCAGTAATTCAGGCATTTTGGATTTCTTTCAGACTGGAAGACTACACTTGAAAAGAAAGAGTTACCTTCTAAAGAGGATACTGCTGTGGAAGAGCTATCCTTCCATGTAAATATGAAATGCTGTGTAGAGAGCCCCTGGTCTGTGCAGGGCTGGAGGGACCAGCCCAGGGAGCAGCAGGAGGAATCTTTGAGTCAAATTGTACTTACGTTGGAGGAGTTTGTGCAAGAGGAATATTGTGAACATGATCTTGAGGGAAGTTGTCAGAGTGAAAGCCTTCTACCTCCAGCATTACCTGCAAAAACACCTGTACACAAGCTTGACTCACAGTTTCGACAGTTGCAACAGAGTTCAGTTTTTGTCAATCATTGGAAAGGCTGGACCAATCAGAAGCCCTGTGAAAATCTTGAAAGTGCCAGAGCCTTCTCCCAAAACATTCACTTGCATAAACTTGCAAATGTTGAAAAGGAAGATAAAAAACCTCATGAATATACTGTCAGAAGTGACTCTTTGAACTATGGTACCTCTGTTCATTTCCATAAAAGAATATTTTCATCAGAGAACAGTAATGATTGTAAGGCCTATAGAAATGTTATTAACCATAGCATGTCTCTGAATGAAAACCAACCAGTACATTTTGGAGAAAGTCAATATGAGTGTGACAAACACTTTGTGCAACCTGAAGTAATGGTTGGATATCCTGGATGTGAGGAGGAATGCAGTGCCTTCCACGTGGCCTCATCTTTTAGTGACTGTGACATCAATCAGATGAGAAAGAAGCCACATGCATGTAATCAATGTGGAAAATCTGCCAGCTGTTACTCTAAGCTTGTACACCAGAGAGCACACACTGGAGAGAAGCCATGTAAATGCAGTCATTGTGGTAAAGCCATCTCTGGGAGTTTTCACCTTTCACATCAGAGAATTAACTTGGGCGAGAATCCCTATGAGTGTAGTGACTGGGGGAAATCTTTTAGGCAGCAATCACAGCTTGGTGTGCATGAGAAAATCGACACTGGAGATAAACCTTATGAATGTAGTCATTGTGGAAAAGCTTTCAGGTGGAGATATCTCCTCACTGTGCATCAGAGAACACACACTGGAGAGAAGCCCTATCAGTGTAATGTGTGTGTTAAAGCCTTCAGTGGTCGGTCTGCTCTTAGGAAACATGAAAGAACACACACGGGTGGAAAACCCTTTGAATGTAATGACTGTGAAAAGTTCTTTAACCAGCAGAGTCACCTTACTAGGCATCAGAGAAGTCATACTGCAGGGAAACCTTATTTGTGTGCTCATTGTGGAAACTCTTTCAGCCGTAGCTCTGACTTTGTTGCACATAGACGGATTCACACTGGAGAGAAACCTTATGAATGTCACCACTGTGGGAAGTCTTTCTGGCAGCAATCACAGCTTGTTGTGCATCAGCAGACTCATACTGCAGAGAAGAAATTTTATGAATGCAGTCATTGTGGAAAAGGTTTCAAGTGGAGATCTCACCTCATTCTACATCAGAGAACCCACACTGGAGAAAAGCCCTATGAATGCATTGAATGTGGGAAAGCCTTCAGTGATGGGTCATCTCTTAGAAAACATGAGAGAACACACACTGGCGAGAAACCCTATCACTGCAACCACTGTGGGAAATCTTTTCGGCAGCAATCACAGCTTGTTGTACACCAGCGAACCCATACTGGAGAGAAACCTTATGAATGTAATCATTGTGGAAAAGCTTTCAGCCAGAGATCTATCCTAACTGTTCATCAGAGAACACACACTGGAGAGAAGCCCTATAAGTGTAAAATTTGTGTTAAAGCCTTCAGCCAGAGATACCTCCTCATTGTGCATCAAAGAACACACACTGGAGAGAAGCCTTATCAGTGTAACATGTGCATTAAAGCCTTTAGTGGTCGGTTAGCTCTTAGAAAGCATGAGAGAACGCACACAGGTGAGAAACCCTGTTAATGAATGCAATCATTGTGAAAAGGCCTTTACTGGGCAGAGTCACTGTACTGGGCATCAGAAAGTTCACACTGGAGAGAAAGCATATTTTTGTGCTCATTGTGGAAAGTCCTTCAGCAGTAACTCCTATTTTTGTCACACGTAAAACTTTTCACACTGGAAAGAAACCCTATGAATGTTACTACTGTGGGGAAACTTTTTACACAGCTTGTGTATAAACCTTATGAACACAGTCATTCTTGAAAGGTTTCAAATGAAGAGCTCTCAGTATGCATCAGAGAACATACACTGGTGAGAAACCCTACAAATGTAATCATTGTGAAAAGACCTTTCCTGGTGTTAGACTTGCCTTACTGGCCATCAGAGAATTTACAGTAGAGAGAAATTCTATAAATGTAACAAGTGTTGGAAGGCTTTCAGTTAAAGTAAATCCCTAATTCAATATGAGAAAACTCATGGGAGAGAAACCCTATGAATAATTAAGATGGAAAAGCTCACTGTTAGAACCTGTCTAGACATCAGATGACCACATACATCAGAATTGCTTGGAGTGTATATTGAAACTGCAGATTACCAAGCTTACCCTAATTTACTAAATCGAAACTCTACCAGTAAAACCCAGGAGTTCAGCATTTCCTAAAGCAGCATGTTACTTGTACATGAACTAAAATGTGTTTACTTCTGCATTTATGTGAGAAGGTAAACTTTCAGTCAAAGCTCATAGCAGAGAATAGGAAATTTAGAATAGAACTGTGTTTATTATCATTTTATTGCAAACAGCCACATTAATGTCATCAGATTTTATCTGTATGACATTCCTAAAAAATGGGGGACTGGAAGATAACTACGTAACCAAAAGAGGCAGAAGTGTACATCCACAATGCTAAAAATGTGAGAGGTCATTACTGTAGATTTGAACATGGGGCAGCATCACCTGGGGACACATACTGGGATAGGCTGAGGCCAGGACTGAAGAGAGGGCAGCAGCACTGGAGGACACAGCCCCTTGGCAGAGTTGCAGGCTCATAGCTGTGTGGCAGGAGAGCAGGATTAATTGAAGGTCTGCTCATGAAATTCCAGATTTCCTCCCTTTTGTAGTCTTCTTGTCTTGCACAAAGTATCTGACTGTGCATGGGCAAAATAAAATAGAGAATAAATTAGTTATGAAAAAATAGTTGGTCTGGGGACTAGGAAATGGGTGTATTATGCTCCAGAACAAGGGCTGTCCTTAATATTTCAAGGACCTTCATGCTAAAACCTGGTTCCTGCCCTATTCCTGTGAAAGAGTATCATTAAAATAGCCCCACCATCTATGGAGACTCCCTTCTGATTTCTGATAGTATCTTCAATGTGGATGGAAGGCAGGGAGGGAGAGGCTTGAAAGCCTTCAACATCAAAGAGAAAATATCTGAGGTTAAAAAAAATAGCTCAAGGAAGACATTCAGAGGAACTAAACATTTAAAATGGAGATTGAGTTAGAAATAATTGCAAATGAAAAATGCAAGGCAATATTTTTAAGTTATTAGAACAAAAATAGGCTGAAATTAAAAGTAAGATTTGCTTTAAAAAGAGAAAAGGAAATGAAATTTTTGCAGAGCTGAAAGAAAATCTTAAGGTCCTGCCAATTACTATCCAGGATTAGTAAGATCTGTGCAGCATGACCAATTGAGAACAACACAGTTAAAAAGACATTGCAGAGACTTCTGGAGAGAATAATTTTGAAACAAATGGAATAGGTTTTGTTCTGTTTTTTAAGAAAAGGAATGTTCTAACTAGAGGTAAAGAAAAAATGTAACCAGGAACTTAAGGATAAACAAATTTTCCTTTTTATTAATTTTTTAAAGATTATTTATTTTTAGAGAGGAAGGGGGGAGAGAAACATCAGTGTGTGGTTGCCTCTTACAAGCCCCCAACTGGGGACCTGGCCAGCAACCCAGGCATGTGCCCTGACTGGGATTGAACCGGCAACCCTTTGGTTTGCACACCTGCACTCAGTCCACTCAACCATGCCAACCAGGGCTTATTATTATTTTTATTTTTAGGGAGGGAAAGAGGGAGAGAAGCATCAGTGTGTGGTTGCCTCTCACCTGCCCTCTCCTGAGGACCTGGCCTGCAGAAGCCTTGTCACCAGAAAGTCACTAGGACCCCACCAGATACTGAGTGTATTTTCCCAAGGTCCCTCTTGCAGTTACCTAGTACCTTTCATAAAACCACTTAGGTAACATAACGTTAATGATTTATATGGGATCCTGAGGTTGAGGTGAGCAGTCTGAGCAGAGCAGGTGGGGATTTTGCTTCCTGGTGTAACAGTTGGGCCTGCTGCTGAGACCTACAAAGTTGTGGAGCATTCAGAAGATGCTGGAGCCTGGGAGGAAGGGCCTACCCAACAGATTCAGCTGTTTGACATTCTTGTGGTCCAGATATCTAAGAGCAAGTTTAAGTCCTGAAAGTAGCTTTCTTTAATGAAGGAGCTCCCGGAAGCTCAGGTATAGATGTATGTGAAGTCTCAGGATACAATGTTCCTTCTCTTCAAAATGGGGAGTCAGCGGCAGTTTTGTGGTCTTGTTCTCTGGAGACAACGCCCAGTGGGAATCACAGGTGGGAAAATTGATTTGTGTGCAGGAAATGGGAGGACAGTATGAAAATGCAGTGTGTTCTGAGAGGTACCCTGTGCTTTAGCAAATCAGAAACCTGATGCTCTAAAGACCCAAGAACTGGGCTCATTTGAAGTAAGAACCTAAGACCTTTCCTCCTGATTCTCATAATCAGAATCTAGTGATAACTGATGGGAATGTGTGTAAGTCCCACCTGCAAGGAAGTGTTGGAATTGCAGTTTTGGGGTCCATCTTTAGAGAGTTCACTTCTTCAGGCTGAGGTAGAACCTAGACATTTGCATAGTCTGAGGACAGTTTTTTTTTTATTTTGTTTATTAGTTTTGGAGAGGGAAATATCAATTTATTGTTCCACTTACTTGATTCTTATATGTGTTCTGACCAGAGATTGGACCCACAACCTTGGCATGTCAGGACAATGCTCTAAACAACTGAGCTACCTGGCCAGATGTGAGGACACTTTCTATAGCTATATTTTTAAACATTTTGCAAAAAGGAATCTCTAAATTATATATTCACACATGTTTCTTTTGTTGGTTTCACTTAAATTTGTGATCAGGTAAAAATGAGGCCCAAAAGATAAACCACACCCACTTTGTGTAAATGCTGAACTGTTTTTTGTTGTTGTTGTTTGATTTGATTTGTGTTTTTAAGTTCATTTTTCTACCTCCTACCTCCTTCCCTGTAATCACCACACTGTCGTTTGTGTCCATGAATTACTTTTCTTTAGGGGGGCAGGCTGCTTTCAACAAATCCATCCTCCCTCCCCACTTGAAAATACAGATGCCAAAATAATCCTAAACATATTTTTGATACAACTAGCAGTGGAATGATTGGGAACCCAGAAGACGATCCCCAGTGCAGAGGTTTTCCACAAGATTTCATGGGATTCCACATACAGTTGTATGCCTGGCTTAGAATTATTGAAGTAATATACCAAGGATAAGCAGTTTATGCATAAAGGAAAAGACATGAAGTCTACGGGAATCTATGTGCAGGTTTGAATTGCTCTCCCTCCTTTGAGGTAGGTAGTCACACAAAGCAGTGGGGACCAGGCAAGAAGGCACCATCTGCCCAGCATGGACCAAAGGCAGAAGTAGAGTGGGCTCAGTGTAAATTGGGTTGTCTGGGAGTTTGCTTTGTTTTTTGTTTTTATTTTTCATAGTCTAGGCACAGTGAAAAGGCACCACTCTGAAAGCCAATTTTGCAAAGAGGACCTAAAATGTGTGATCTTGGGCCTGCTGTGTTTTTTTGCATAAGCTTTCTTATGTCTTCAAATATTAAAGCAATTAGCCATATTCAGAGTATCTGTTACATTAAACTGCAGTTCTGACCACACATGGAGGAAGTACATGGTTCATACATTTCCTGTTTCAGATTGGTTTTCAGGAACATGTTACAACTCAGTATTCTTGGCATTTCCTTGATTTTGTCTCATAGATGTGAATCCCATTTGGAATGCTCTAGGCTTAGCTTAAAGGCCAGGGTCTTGATAATGTGAGAGAAACATAGCTGCCTTCCAAACCCGGACAGAACCTACAACCCAGGAATGTGCCTGGACTGGGAATCAAACTTGTAGATTTTGGCAGACAGGATGATGCTCAAATAACTGAGGCACCTGGGCGGCATGCAAAAACATTTTTAAAAAGTTTTAAACAATGATGACTTCTTAAACTAAGATGCTTGTGGTGCAAAGAAAGCAGGAGGGAGAGACATTTAAGGTGTAAAATTTCCAAAGCCAGGATCACATTTATGTTACTACTCAACATTCACATCTTGCCATTCTAGGAGTTCATTGGGATCAGCTGGGTGATTCTTTTCACTTAGGGTCACTCATGCAGTTTCAGAGGCAGTGACTGCTAGAGTCCTCTGGAGACTTCAACATCCAAGGTAGCCCACTCTTAAGGCTGGAAATAGATGCTGACTGCCAGCTAGGAACTCAGCCTGGACTGTTGGCTGGAGCACTCACATTGGACTGCTTCACCTGATCTGGGCTCTTCTCAACAGGGTGACTAAATTCCAAGAGGGAATATCCCAGGAATGAGCATTTCAGCTCCTTATAGCCTCATAAGTCATACATCATTTGACCTTATTTTATTGGATAGCCCGTCAGGGTCAGCCCTGAGTCAAGGGGAGGGGAAATAAATTCTACTCAATGGAAAGAGTGACAAAGAACTTGGGGCTGTATTTAATTCACTACAGAGCCTCAATGTAATAGAAAAGGAGAAATATAGAGGAACGCTGAAATTTTGATAGATGACTGAGTAACCTGAGGTGACATGAAGAAGCAAGCTTTGAATACAAGAACAATATGGGTGCTTGCATTCAGGTTATATTGAGGTACCTGAGGGGCATCAAAGTGGAACTGCCCACTTAAAAATGTTAGCCAGGGTCGGGGAAAACTTTGATACATGTCATTAAGTCTCACAAGAAGGCATGACAGTGTGTTCTTTGAGCATGTAGAGATCACTTGCTGTGATTTTTTTTTTCCCCAGAGACTTTACCCCTAAACATCTCCATGGC